GGACGGTGAGCAGGAGGGAGCCGAGGCCCCCGCTCAGGCCCCCGCTTGCACGCCTGCCTCGGGTCTCCTCAGAAGCAAAGAAGGGCGCCGAGGGAAGCAGCAGAAGCTGGTCCCTGGCTGATCGCAGCCTCAGTCGGGCTTCCAGGCGGGTCCCAAGGCATTTATTCGCCCAACCAGCTCCTCTGGCAAGCTCAGGATTTAAATTCCAAATGTAAAGATTGCATTATAATCGGTTTGGCCCTTTTCAGAAGAACAATTGTTCTTAGTATCAAATTCTTTTTGCCAATAATAGCAATTGCTCTTCCAAAAAGAACCAAACCGATTATCTTTTTGTCTACTTGGGGATTCATTACATATCCTTTATTCATAAATAGGTATATTTTTTAAAAAATCCTAAATTAAAACATCTTACTATAGGGAAATTGTGTGGTTGCTCTTTAAAAAAAACAAATCATCTTAAATATTAAGAAATGTATGTTAAGAGATGAAATGGATTGTTCTTCTCTTGAGCTGCTCTGGAAAAGTCGAATCCAATGGGAAGAAAAGAATTGGAGGAATGAAGGGAAAAAGGAGGGGAAGGCTCGCCCACAGTACTGCAGCCTTTTCTGTGCAATAAGCCCAATAAACTCCACAGGTCTGTTTGCATTTACTGTTGCCACTTAAATTATTCAGTGTGTTGCGGTAATTGAATCCTAAGCTTTAAAAACTAATATACTCTCTCCTTGTCACCGCTTTCTGAATCATGAAATCCGCCCTAACAGGTGCTGATCAAATACTATTACATTCTATTAAAAAGAAAATTCTATTCCCTGTTTTCATTTCCCTTTATAAAGGGGAAACTAAGTAAATGCATTTGAACGTTATTTAATTTTTAACGCTTTTAGTCCAATTTGGACGTTAGGGAGCGTCTCCAAACTCACAAAACCCAGGCGGCGTGGCAATAAATTGGGTTGACATAAATTAATCCAAAACGGAATCTCTTCTTAGGGTGCTCCCTTTCTCCCCTCCCCCAGCTTTTGCAGTCGAGGGGCTGACCCAGGCAAATGTCATCTAGCCCCATCGAAGGAGAAGTGAATCTTTCCTTTAAAGAGGCACAAAGTATTGGGAATGTAAATAATAATAAAAATAATAATAGTCACGGAAAACCAGTGTCATGACAAGCGAGTCGGTGTAAAGCAAGCAGATTAAAAAACAGGCATCCAGTAAATGGCTCGTTTGCTTTCTATGCAGGCGGGTCTGTATTCAAGCTACTCTAAGGGGAAGTACTTAGCAATTTTCTGGAAAAAAATATTGGAGGTGAGACAGATCTCTTCCCCTTTCTCAGGAAAACGCTCACAATTGTTATAGACCGTTGTAATCTGTTAGATACTTGGGTATCTGCGTATGCACACACACACACACACACTTATGCACATCTGTATATGTGTGTTTCCACATGTCCTGTGTAGCTTCAGAAAATCCTAATTCTAAACTCAGTTCCCATTATCAGATGGAGATTTGCGGTTGGAAAGCAATGCTCATTTCCCAGGCCACCCCTAGGCAGGTTTTCTCCAAGGTCCAACTGGACTTCTAGCCCCGGGAAGTCTGGCTAGGCTTGTCGTTTTAAGACGGGCCAAAAAACGGGGAAAGCGTGAAGGGCTGCGTGCGCGGAGGAAGGAGAAGGCTGGATTTCAAATCAGGCTCTCGCCTTTTCATTCCAGCACCACCAGCACTATTTTCGAAGTGGAACTGGGCAGCTCCGAAATTGGGGGAGGGGGGAATGTCCCAAGGCATCCGCCCCAACCTGGTGCCTTCTGCGGCCAGACGAAGCCGCTTTCCCTTCCGTGTGGTGTGTTTATAAACAAAGAACGCTAAGAAAGATTTACGCGGATCCCCAATTAATCCCCCGCGATGAGGGGCTCGGAGGGGGCGAGGCTCAGCATCACCAGCCTGGAATTCTGTTCAACTCGCCTCTTGGTTAATGATTCTGAAGAGTGGAAAGGGAGGGAGCGGCTCGTCTAGTAATTGCAAAGGTTTGTTCAATTTCATCTGGCTAATTTCGAAAGACAACCATCGCAGATGCGCATTGCAATATCCGCCCCACATTAGCTTAGCTAATAAATTTGACCTATTGTGCGTTTGTTAAAATGATGTCACCATGGAACAGTCCCTAAGCTCCTATTCCAATGAATTAGGCCTTTATTGAAACCTGGGAGCCAATGGGAGGAGAGAGGCTTGTTTGTTGTGGCCAATGGCAGCTGTCGGAGAGAAATTAGAAGCAGAAACTCAAGGTTTGGTTCAAAAAAGATGACACAGAGCCTGTCGGGCTGGACCACTCTTGGCAAAGTTTCAGTGTGACATCTATACAAACCAGGACCTTACATGGATCTACTGTAAAAAGGAAGGGAGCGTTTTTATAGGGGAAATCTTGCCGGGGTTTTTTTTTTCCTCCCCTCTCCCCCCGATTGAGCCAATATTTCTATTCACCAAGGATGGATCAGCCAACGAACACGCAGACACCGCATCAACACGAACCCATCAGCTTCGGGATTGATCAGATTTTAAATAGTTCTGATCAGGAGACCCCTTCCCAGCCCGCCCCCCGAGGATCAGACGGCGGCACCAATTACCTGGGCAGCCCCGTGAGCAGCAGAAGCAGCGCCCCGTACCCTTCCCTCCCCGGCGCCTTTGCTGGCATCGGGGCTCCCTTCGAAGACTCTGGATCTTACAGTGTGAATCTCAGCTTGGCTCCATCTGGCGTGATCCGGGTGCCAGCGCACAGACCCATCCCTGGGGCAGTGCCACCTCCAATTTCTAGTGCCATTCCAGCCATGCCAGCTGTACCCAGCCTTGGCAGCCTCAACTTCCCTTGGATGGAGAGCAGCAGGCGGTTCGTCAAGGACAGATTCACAGGTAAGCAGCGGCGGCGGCGGCGGCCGGGCTGGCGAGCGCTCTCCTGGAGAGGGTCGGCCGGTGAGGCTGGGTCTCCTGCGCGGAGGAGCCGTGCGGGTGTGTGTGAAAAATTGGCTCAGCCTCAGCACCCTGTTTCTCGAGGGGGGAAAAGAGCGGACGGCTGTTAAAAAGCCGGAACAATATAGGCGTGTGCTGCTAGGAGACCGACCAAGCTGCCGGTCGGCCGGCTTTTCTGTTCTTTCTTTTCCGTGGTTTAGCAGATCTGGGCGTGAAACCTTGGTACAGTATCTGTTTGGGTGGTCCTGTTTCAGGACGACAACAGGAATCCAACGGGTTGTCTTGAGTCCTTCCAAAGATCGAATGATCTTTCTTTTCCTCTCCCCCTAAACAATGACGATCAAGGGAGGAAATCTTAAATCTGCTCTTCTCAGGATAAGAAATCCTCGAGATTATTTTCTCAGGCCGGTTAATTTAAATTGCAGTATGGAAGTGCAAAGGAAGGCGAGTAAATGGCTGTGTCTAATCTGATTACAGCATTAGTACTAGAGATGGAAGAGGACGAGAAAGAAATTTATAAAGATTTAAGTTCTTCCACTGAAAACAGGATTAAGACGATCAGGATGAGGAAAGCAGGGGGTTAAATAGGTAAGGTTAGCTTCACCCTGCAAAGCGGCTAAACAAACCACAGGTTCTGGGTGTGCTGGGCCACTTCAACGTGATTTATATTTGTGGGTAAAAGGGGGAAATATTTCAGCGGGTGCCTAAAAGTTACTATCAGTAACTTTCCTAGTATGCATTTTTTTAAAGAAGAAAATATACGGGAAATCCCTAAATACTTGAAATGGTTGCTTATTATTTTTTATTATTCATAAGAAATATGTATGGTAGCTGGGACAGATTTGCAGAGACGTTTAGAATTACTGGGTTGATTTTTCGCTGCAGCACCAATTGTTTTCTTCCCTCTGCAATGTACAGTACTTTATATTCTGAGGTGTGCGACACCAAAAAATAAACGAAAGGAAACAAAACAAAAACCGAGCAGACTAAACGCGATTAGGTGGCCTTCCCCACCCCACCCCCCACCTTTTGAAGGCCGGTGAGCAGAACTTTTCCCTTTCAAGGTGGCCCCTCGTCATTTTTTGGTTCGAGAGTGCCGAAGGCCGACGCTTCGCTTTGCCCTTTGAGCTAGAGACCCTCTGTCCTTTTTTTCAAAAACGGATTTCTTTTTGTTTTCATGTTACCACGGTTCTCCTGCAGCACAGCCTCCAGGATTAGACACCCCTTCTGCCCTCTTCCATACTGTGGGTCTTTAATCGATCCTGAATTGCTTCGCTCCCCTCCCTACGGCACCACCAGCAGGGCTGACACGAGGGGCGGGACAAGCCATCCCTTTCGCCCCCCGCCCAGCGCCCGAGCACATGGTGCCGGTGAGGGCGGGGGAGGACTGTCACCTGCCACCACGCAT